AAAAAAAAGGAAGAAGCACACCCCACATATCAACCAAGCCGCAAAAGGAAAGAGAAATGACTATCTACAAGCATAAAACACAAACAATAGCCATTAGAATAGTCTTTTCACCTAGGGATTCTTGAAACCCCATGCTTCCTTCTAAGGTTGCTAGGGGTCCCATGAGCAGTGGTGAACTGATTTTCCACCAACACTGACCTCCAAATGCAAGGCATTACATTAGAAAATGATAGTAATAGCTGAGCTAAGTCCAAGGCAGGCAGAAACGCATCAGCAGTTGTCTTTTGTATAGATGCATGTGGAATAGTTTGATTTTCTGGTTCTACAGTCTTTGAGCCTATCACTCCAGAAGAGGGTCATCCGTGCACCAAATGTGGATTACAAGGATGCATGACCGGGGTGAGTTGTGTGCTTTATGTCTTTAGTCTACCATCCAAATGTATCTTGTAGAAGGAAGCAAATGCAAACCAAATTCCTGCTACATTGAACTCATTTTGACAGTGGTCAGGCTAGTGGTGGAATGCATCAGCTTTGTGGCTAGCCAGGTACGAATCTCAAACATCCCATTTCTAAAATAAGATTATGCAGCTGCCAAACGTAACTTTTTCATATATTCTAGCACAGTCTCTGCATGAAAGGTCACCAATGCCTGGTTCGTTCCACAGAACCCCTTAATAAGGAATGGGTGGTGGGATGAGGTAGGGAGAAACCATGTGGTATAACAGACACAATAATTCACTCAAAAACCACCACAAAAAGACACACAGTTTACATCAGATTTTAATTAGCTCATCTAAATGAAAGCAATGTGAATTCACAATATAAATCACACCAAACCTTGTGGACAAAGTGGTTTATGATCCATACAATCTACCTTTCCCCTCTTAGACAAGGATGGTCATTATGGCCAATCCGACAGAAGACAAAAAAGGTATGGGAGTTTAAAGCCCTCTTAACTTTTAGGGGCTGACTGGCACTTTCAACATGGATTTAGCATATCTATGAATCCCATTCCTCCAAACGGTGTGTAGAGGATGGGGGGAAAAAAAAAAAAGAAGAGGTAATAGTCCTTCATTTACCATTGAGTTTTGACAGTACAATTTAAAAACAGAAGTAGTTACCTTAGACCACAGAAGAACATTTTAGTGTTTCAACATATTCTTTACAAAAACAAATGGAAATACAAGTTACAAACCACATGCTGCTGCAGCAAATGTGGTCCTATGGGTCCATTAAGTACAGTAACAGTCTAAAAGCTGTCCACAGAACAGTTGTATACATCAAAATAAACAACTCCAGGATGTGGTTAACCATATTATGGGATTATCAAGCAGGATGGCAACATGGGAACTGCAGACATGTTTTTGAAGATGCATGCTCACACTACCATCCTTACTCCTACTTTTCTACTTGAGTCACTCATATTTAAAAAGCACATCAGAACACCTGACATACATGCAAGTGTTAGGTCAGGTATTCACTAGGCACTGGAGCAGCAATAAAGGCCGACCGCCATGAAAAATGCACTTTCAAAAAACAATCTGCAGTGTCATTTGCCATATGTATATGCTGATTGATTCATTTCAAGAACAGAATTTCCAAAATCCACCCAACAAGACTTCAGAAGCCAGGTCCTATTTGATACACAGATAGTACCCAAATAAATCCAAGGTAAGTTGTGTAACGAATATTCGTGGGAAATTGCAGTTACTTAAAAAGGATTTGTACCAGGCGTTAAAAATTCCCACTAAGCACTCTACACTTTGGGGCCCACCCGCTCAAGCTGGTACTGAAGCAAAGGAACACTGTACCGTTGACATTGTCAGATTCTGCTGTCTCCATTAAATTTGTGTTAAATGCTCATGGGTATTAAGCCATCATTAGCCCTGGACAAACGGAAACAGTCAGTGGGCATAAGTAATATGCATCGAGCTCCATTTTTGATGCCCACAGGTTATGGCATCAAATGTGTACTGATGTAAATCATTTGCCTAAAGAAAATACACCAAAATTAACCATGTTGCAAAAGATGAATATTGCTTACTAAACCTAGAGGTTTCATCACACCCAGGATATCTTTATTTCTTATACAGTAAACATTTGTAAAAGAATGAAAAAATTATCACAGTTACCAAACTTTTAAACTGGAGGGTGATGAAAAGCCAGGCTGTAAGTGTGCTTTCCTATACCCAGCACCATCTGCTGGCAAAGGGTTGTAAATATAAAGTAGGCTTCATAAATAAAGAGAAGCAGATATTTAAAATAGTATCTACTCCAAAACATCAATCAACTGTACTACAACTGGAGTGCCACAAGTAATAGGTTTATCCTAAGAGAAATGTAGTATAAAATGTTTGAGCATTGTAACCCATCGGTCACAAAGCTTAGAACCGGTACGCTGCATAACCGAGTAAAAGCAGCTAAATGGCCTTTACTTGTTGCTGCCTCAACATTTTGGGAAACGGTCTTGTGGAGGAGGACTACAGAAGTTCACAGCCAAAAAAAAGCTACACATGAGCCAACACTACTCTGTGGAGGACAACATTTCAAATACCAGATTAATCAGAATGGAGACCATTTCAAAACATAATACCAAGTTATCACATTCAGTACGCCAGTCTCATCTAGGAGTAAATTCACTGCAGTTTTAGATTGGACGACAGCCGTCATCTTCTACGATTTAGCAGAGACACACAATAAACTTGATGGTGCATTGAAATGGACAAGTGAATAATCTGATGCTCTGATCATAGGCAAAGCTAATGTGTGCTGTCAGGGTTAAAACGCATGCCTATAGCATCAGGTAATGCATTACATATTAATAATCCTTCACACACAAGACAACTGTAAACATCTGACAGTGACATACAAGCATGGTCTTCTGGTCAGGCAGAGGTAAAGTCAATTGGTAGGTAAAGAATTGCATGCCAAAAAGTGTAACGTGAACAATGGAGTGAATGTGCAAACAACAACGGTCCTCTTCAAATTGTGCACAAATTTCTCCTTCCCAGCAGAATGCATACAGATGTGCAATAAAAGGGAACATTCAGTCCTTTTTGATTGTTTCATCGGAATGTACATGCCTCACATATCTTTAGGGGGAAGCATCAAACATCTTTGCATCATCAGGCAAGCACAATGGAGACAAGGAACAGGCTTCCGATAACCTGAAAGCCTTCTCTGTGTCAAAAAGGATTTAAAATAGAAGTGCATGTAGATAAAAAGGTGTGGAAAATGATTAGAACTCCACTTTGCAGGCAGGGAAAGTTTCATCCTGCATTGACACACTGCTGGTGCTTCCCAGCACAATTACACCCAATGACTGCTGAAGGGCATGGGTTTCTTCATACCAGGCACGGACTGCTGGGGACTCGAATGTTGGAATCACCGTTACCTGGATATAAAAAAGAGAAAAAAAAAGTCTTAAAATGAGAAATTGTCATCAATTTACAGAATATCCATCTATTTAAAATAACCTTTTTGTAAAGCGTTGTGCACAATGTTGGCACTAAATAAACCCGTATAATGATAACCGTAATACAAGTACCCAATTCCTGATAGTAGAAATTGGCATGTCCCTACTTTGTATCCAGCAAAGCAAAGTTGAGTACCTGTATGAATAAGAGACCCAGTCATTTCCATTTTGGAAGGTGTAGGGAAAGGGGTTGGTCACATGTCTATGCTGTGACTTTTTGAAGTTGGTATTTAACTACCTGCGGACTGGCCACAGTATACATGTCCGGTCCGTTGCCCCATTGTTCTGGGAGGACATACGTGTACGTAAGTGAACACCTGTTTGCACACGGCCACTGCTCCCATTGTCATTAAACAGCAGAGAGCCATGAATTTAGCGATCGGACCACCTCTGTGTCCTGTGATCACCGTGATTGGTTATCACATGACAATGTTTACATTGCCAAGCTCTTCTATTCCTCTTACATCAGTGGCAGTTGAGAGTAGAAAAAATAAATGAATAACCTTTCAAATAATTTTACCCCCCCTCCTGCTTATACTAGATCCACTCTCTCTCTGCTCTGACCTGTATATTAACCCTTCCACCTCCCTTATTCTGCACATCTATACATTAACCCCTTCATCTCCATCTTCCCACTGTATTCCCACTGTCTCAGCCATCTTGCATAGCATTAAAAACTGAAAAATGGGCTGGGGATGTAATGTAACATGCTGGTACACATTAGGTTGCCCCCCAAAAAAGTGAGACAGCCACTTTTTTGGCTTCAATATGCAAAATCGCTGACCAGGGCCATCTACAGATATCAGACACAGCCAGAAAACTAGAATTTTTAGAAGTTAAAGAATGGCAGCTCTTACAAAAAACGTATACTTTTAGGCCTCATTCACACTGCCGCGCGTTGTGTATTGTACCATATGCAACACATGCAAATAAATGGCTCCATACACCTAGCCGCGTATGGAGCCGTATATATGCACAAAAACAGAATGGAACAGAGATGCGTCCGGGCAGCGTATTTCTGCGTACTTACGAGTGGTGCATTCTGGGATTGCATATAGTGCACGCATACACGCTCGTATATACGCGCATAGACGCAATATACAATTTTGCTTGCGTTGTGTGTGAATGAGGCCTAAAAAGTAAGTTTACTTTTATTCTGGAATTCTGCTTTAAAAATAAATCTATGGCCTGGCTATGGAGCAACACTAGATGAATCAGCCTTTAACCTAAAAAGAAAATCCTGCATAGCTTTCATATTAAAATTTTAATTTCTCTGTCCGAAATTCAAATCTCCCTCCTGCCCCAGAAAGAAGCATGAACAGGCTAAAAAGGACAGACAGGCTTAGCCAGATCCAAAGTACTGAAGGAACCTCCTAGAGCCAGACAAGTCCTTACGTATAAAACACCGTCTGCAATTTCCTAAAAACTCTTTAGCAGCTGAAAGAGCCATTTTGCTTTTCATTTTTATTTATACAACATTTTAAAATAAGCTTGGGGTTTTATTTGAATTTTCTTTAAAGGGAAATACCTGTATATCTTGTGTCCAGTGGCTTTTTCCAGCCAGTAGAGAGTCCAGAACCTTGCGGGTAGATTTTTCCTTGATAGGATCGTCTCCACTAATAACATAACAGGAAGAGCGCACCAGTCTGAAAAACTCTTCCTCTATGGTTTGTGCAGCAGGTCCCCCAGGCAGGTAAGCCAGGTCCACATATACTGGCTGAGCAGGATGGGAGGATGAGGCCAAATGTAGAGGTCTACTTTGGCCAGATGCTGGAAGACATGCATACGTTTGTTAAAAATGTAACACTTAAAATACAGAACTAGAGAAAGATATACACAGCAAGAATATTCTCAATGTAACAGGTTTTATTTTACCGAAACACAAAAACAGGAAGAGAGTTTTACATACCGCCAAAAGAACCTTATAGAAAGAGCTCTAGTACTACCTGCACATTAAAATGTCCTGCCGAGTATACAGAATAGTCTTGAACTGGCTTCTGAGTCACGTGACTCAGAAAGGCAGTGATCTGTGTTATGCTACTCAGATACCTTCCGCATTACAGGATTTACAACATGAAGTTTTAGACAATGACAATTGTTTATCATTGCATTGATAGCTACACCCACCAAAAGCTGATCTCCAATATGTCTTTGGAGAAACTGGCACCTAACCTACACAAGGCAAATTGAAAAGTTTGCATATGGATCCCTCAACTATATACTAACCACTACAGCAACCCTCTCCCCTCCCCTTTTATCAGTCACTGCAAAACACCTGCTTCTTCTGGGTATTCTGGATCCCTACGAGCTCCTTCCATGCGCTCACTAATGAGAAGCACCATTAAATACGGTTTGGGTTGAAATAATTTTTTGTATCATGAGAAGTAGATGGTCATGAGGGACAAGTAGATTGGGTCCCCCGCTTTAGTCCTTGGAGAAGTAGTTTTATTTTTAAAATTTCCCATCATTAAAAAAAAACAATGTTCCTGAATGCTACGGATAGTGTGTCCCTTGAATAACAAAGTAAAATAAATTAGATCCTTCAAAAAAGTAGTTAAGCAAATCTGTAAAGATAGAAATAAGAGGAGTGTGGACTAAAGGGGACATGGGGCTTCTAGACATGGAGTAATATTATTGGGCATGTCAGCTTAACAGATTAGTGGCCTGGTACATACACGGCTCTCAAAAAGACTGGGTGCTCCAATAACAGGCCATGTCGAGATCCCTCTGCACGCCTCTCCACGGATCTCATCCAAATCCCTTCTGCGCTCGTTATCCCACCACCATAACTGGCCTAACTCTACAAGTCAGCAAAATGGCAAGTACGAGTGTCCAACTAACCACCTCTCCAGGCCCCCTCACACCTATCTGGAACAAACGTGATTTCCCTCTGGGACTTATCTCCTCATTCCTTGCCAGCTGACCAGGGCCATCTACAGATATCAGACACAGCCAGAAAACTAGAATTTTTAGAAGTTAAAGAATGGCAGCTCTTACAAAAAACGTATACTTTTAGGCCTCATTCACACTGCCGCGCGTTGTGTATTGTACCATATGCAACACATGCAAATAAATGGCTCCATACACCTAGCCGCGTATGGAGCCGTATATATGCACAAAAACAGAATGGAACAGAGATGCGTCCGGGCAGCGTATTTCTGCGTACTTACGAGTGGTGCATTCTGGGATTGCATATAGTGCACGCATACACGCTCGTATATACGCGCATAGACGCAATATACAATTTTGCTTGCGTTGTGTGTGAATGAGGCCTAAAAAGTAAGTTTACTTTTATTCTGGAATTCTGCTTTAAAAATAAATCTATGGCCTGGCTATGGAGCAACACTAGATGAATCAGCCTTTAACCTAAAAAGAAAATCCTGCATAGCTTTCATATTAAAATTTTAATTTCTCTGTCCGAAATTCAAATCTCCCTCCTGCCCCAGAAAGAAGCATGAACAGGCTAAAAAGGACAGACAGGCTTAGCCAGATCCAAAGTACTGAAGGAACCTCCTAGAGCCAGACAAGTCCTTACGTATAAAACACCGTCTGCAATTTCCTAAAAACTCTTTAGCAGCTGAAAGAGCCATTTTGCTTTTCATTTTTATTTATACAACATTTTAAAATAAGCTTGGGGTTTTATTTGAATTTTCTTTAAAGGGAAATACCTGTATATCTTGTGTCCAGTGGCTTTTTCCAGCCAGTAGAGAGTCCAGAACCTTGCGGGTAGATTTTTCCTTGATAGGATCGTCTCCACTAATAACATAACAGGAAGAGCGCACCAGTCTGAAAAACTCTTCCTCTATGGTTTGTGCAGCAGGTCCCCCAGGCAGGTAAGCCAGGTCCACATATACTGGCTGAGCAGGATGGGAGGATGAGGCCAAATGTAGAGGTCTACTTTGGCCAGATGCTGGAAGACATGCATACGTTTGTTAAAAATGTAACACTTAAAATACAGAACTAGAGAAAGATATACACAGCAAGAATATTCTCAATGTAACAGGTTTTATTTTACCGAAACACAAAAACAGGAAGAGAGTTTTACATACCGCCAAAAGAACCTTATAGAAAGAGCTCTAGTACTACCTGCACATTAAAATGTCCTGCCGAGTATACAGAATAGTCTTGAACTGGCTTCTGAGTCACGTGACTCAGAAAGGCAGTGATCTGTGTTATGCTACTCAGATACCTTCCGCATTACAGGATTTACAACATGAAGTTTTAGACAATGACAATTGTTTATCATTGCATTGATAGCTACACCCACCAAAAGCTGATCTCCAATATGTCTTTGGAGAAACTGGCACCTAACCTACACAAGGCAAATTGAAAAGTTTGCATATGGATCCCTCAACTATATACTAACCACTACAGCAACCCTCTCCCCTCCCCTTTTATCAGTCACTGCAAAACACCTGCTTCTTCTGGGTATTCTGGATCCCTACGAGCTCCTTCCATGCGCTCACTAATGAGAAGCACCATTAAATACGGTTTGGGTTGAAATAATTTTTTGTATCATGAGAAGTAGATGGTCATGAGGGACAAGTAGATTGGGTCCCCCGCTTTAGTCCTTGGAGAAGTAGTTTTATTTTTAAAATTTCCCATCATTAAAAAAAAACAATGTTCCTGAATGCTACGGATAGTGTGTCCCTTGAATAACAAAGTAAAATAAATTAGATCCTTCAAAAAAGTAGTTAAGCAAATCTGTAAAGATAGAAATAAGAGGAGTGTGGACTAAAGGGGACATGGGGCTTCTAGACATGGAGTAATATTATTGGGCATGTCAGCTTAACAGATTAGTGGCCTGGTACATACACGGCTCTCAAAAAGACTGGGTGCTCCAATAACAGGCCATGTCGAGATCCCTCTGCACGCCTCTCCACGGATCTCATCCAAATCCCTTCTGCGCTCGTTATCCCACCACCATAACTGGCCTAACTCTACAAGTCAGCAAAATGGCAAGTACGAGTGTCCAACTAACCACCTCTCCAGGCCCCCTCACACCTATCTGGAACAAACGTGATTTCCCTCTGGGACTTATCTCCTCATTCCTTGCCAAGTGGAGTGGCAACCTCAAGAAAAGGGAGGGGGGGGGGGGGGGCCACAAG